CAAGTGTGCGCAGAGGGTTCTTCACGCCAGGCGACCTCCCATGACATTTTCCTCCCATGACACTTTCGAGTGAGTTTGAACCACCAACCTGTCAGCTGGTCGTAAGCTCTTAACCATTTATATCCCCTAGGACTCTTTACTGGCTGAGGGAGCTTTTAATTTGAAAGACAAGCTCTGCGTCTTTGAGCTCCACTTATAGCTAGCACGGGCGCGCACAGGCATTTGCACTTAATCTCCAGGGACCAACAAACAATAAAACCTCTTTCTCCAGCCCAAGTCCTCTGAGCACCCCTGGGTCCTCTGGGCAGCTCAGTAGGGGCGGCTTCGGCTGCCCACTCTGTGTTCAAAGCACATTCTCACTGAGAGCCTGGACCGCCGCAGCTTCAAAGCCCGAAGAGTAAACATGGGAGGAGACGAAGCCCTTTGGCATACTGGTTCCACATTGGGCTGCAGGGGGGGGAGGGGGGGGTTTTCACTCCCATTAATAGTTATCCTCTGGGGACTCTACCTCGGCATCTCTCCTCTGTCCCATAGGGTCACTATGCGCCAGGCTTGTGACTTGATGGAAGTGAGTGGTTTTTTGGTTTGGATCCAAAGAGGAGACGGAAAACAAGCAAAAGGAAAAGATCAGTGCTCTGAGAATGGAAATTCCAGAACATTTCATGGTGCTCCTCTGGAACTTGTCCATGGATCAAGAGGCAGTTGTGTGAATAGAACAAGAGAGTACTGCATGGTTTAGTCAGGAAGGTGTGTGTCGGGGTGGTATCCTCTCTTTATACTCGTTCCATCTGTACGCTGAGCAAATCATCGAAGAAACTGGCTTACATGATGCAGAGTGAGCCGCTGGGACTGGAAAGACTTACTAGAAACCTTAGTAGTGTGCAGAAGATGCAACTTCGCTTGCTTAAAGTGGGGACACCTGAAGCACTTGCTGCTGAAGATCAAGGAGTGCAGCCTTCAGTGTGGATGCCAACTCATTGTCAAGGAGACCCAAACCCTACAACTGCACCGATAGGTGATATGCTAATTGAAGAAAAGATGGAAGTTGTCAAAAATGTCATCTTACTCAGATCCACGAAGGAAGCACCAGGAAACAGTAGTCAAGAGATCAAGCAAGCCGTCGTATCGGGTAAATCTGCTGCACGAAACTTCTCTAATGTGTTGAGAAGCAGGGACATGACTGTGAGGACCGAGGGGACGTGACTGTGAGGACCAGACCGAGGGGACGTGACTATGAGGACCGAGGGGACGTTACTGTGAGGACCAAGGGGATGTGACTGTGAGGGCCGAGGGGAGCCTGACCCAAGCGATGGTATTTTCAATTGCCTCATATGCACGTGATAGTTAGACACTGACTCAGGAAGGTCAAAAAGGAGTCGATGCATTTGAACGATGTGGTGATGGAGAAGCATACTGGCAGTACCACGGACTGCCAAAAGTACCACGACTGCCAAAAGTACCACGACTGCCAAAAGAACCCACAGATCTGTCTTGAAGGAAGTACAACCAGGAAGCTCCTTAGAAGCATGAATGGTGAGACTGCACCTCATGTATTTTGGACCTGATGTCAGGAGAGACCAGTCCCTGGAGAAGGACATCGTACTTGGTAAAGTAGAGGGGCAGCAGCAACAAGGAGGACACAGCAAAAACAAAGGATGGACACAGTGGCTGCAACAATGGGTTCAAACATGAGAATAATTGTGAGGATGGGGCAGGACCAGGCAGTGTTTCATTCCGTTATACAAAGGGGTGCTGTGAGTTGGAACCAACTTGATAGCACCTCACAACCACAATCTCTGACTGATACAAATAGCTCAAGGCCCTGACCAAAGGTTGGGGGTCGAGTTTACCCTGAAGTGCCTTGGAGGAAAGGCCTGGCAATCTACTTCTAAAACCAAACCAATCAGCCATTTAAAACTATGACACACAGTTTTGCCCTGGCACACACGGGGTGGCCATGAGTTAGAATTAAC